ATTCGATTGGTCTTTTACATCTTAAAATTCACATAAAACTAGAACAGATGTTTTCTTTTGCTTTCAGTTTTGGGTGCTTTGGGTATTGTCATTTATGTCTAAAGAAAGAATCAGGCCAGTTCCATGCTAATGGCCTGGAAGCCCCACTGGTAGAGGCCTCTTGCCAGGCCACGCTGTCAAGAGTAGGCTTTTCTGTGCTTGTGTGCTTTCCTTTTTACCAGATACTATAATTAGGCTTTGTAATTCTATAAAGTAATTTAAAAATAGAAGTTATATAAATAAAATTATTGTGACATTTCACCCTATGCACTAAGATAGGTTCTTGAAAAACTATATAGATAAAATAAAACCAGGGACAGACAGGAGCTGAATAGTTGAGAAGCATAGGAAAGCGGCCAAAACCCAATTTATGCAGAAAAGAAGTTTTTGTTGGTGGTAGAAATGGAAGTATTGTGACTTGCGTTGAATCATAACATGAAAAGGCAAATCTGAAAGGAGGCAAGAGAAGGAGTGAAAATGCTGAGGAAAATTCAAGGTCACAATTTGCAGGAACTAATAATGAAGATGGGAACTAGGTTCGGTATTTAACTGCTGTAGACTTCTTTATTTTTTTCTTTTTCTCGTTCAAATGCTCTAGAAATACTTGTTAGTTCAGCATAAATGATCCAATGCCATGATAAACATTTTCTGATTCCTCGGATACCATTCATTGAGGGTATGGTCTGGTAATATTGCCTAATGTAAGGGGAGGGAAAACAGAAGAGAGACGATGGCAGATGAAAGAGGGAGGGTTGAAATAACATTTGGTCTTTCTTTTCTTCACACCTTAGTCAGCAAATCCCATGCAAAGTATTGCTGACTAATTACTACAAAAGGAAAAGTAAGTATATTTCATGAACTATGTTAGGATAGTTTACTTATTAAAGAGAAGAATCTGTGCCCCAACTTACATTGATTAAAAATAAAGATTGCAGCCCTGGTGAGGTGGCTTGTTTGATTGGAGTGCTGTCCTGTTCACCAAAAGTTTGCAGGTTTGATCCCCTGCTGGGGCGTGCACGGGAGGCAACTGCTTGGTGTTTCTCTCCCACATTGATCTTTCTGTGTCTCTGAAGTCAATAAACATATCCTTGTGTGAGGATTAAAAAAATATTACAAATCTGATGTGAATCTTCAGTTTATTTAAGCCACTTTCTTGAGAACTTTCTTTGAAGAGTATGAGCTAAGTGAAGCAAAGGCATTCTTGGCTTCTTTCAGAAAGTTTATTGTCTACATGTCCCAAACTTGCAGTCATATGATCAACTATTAAGAAGCCTGCAGGGTGCCAGATGCCTTTTCTGTTACCTGTCTGTGCTCCTCTAAGCACAATGGATAGGATTTGGCCAACTCTGATTAAATGTTTATTATTGTTCAGCTCTAGGGCTTTTTACACAATAAATCTACAATGGTCCCTGTTCAGACTTTGCATCCTGTTTTTATAACCTGTTTCCTTAATAATTGACCAGGTTCCTTCTCAAGAAGATTTTTAAACGATTCATCATTTTACAAGTTCTGCAGTAGGATAATGATTTTTAGAAAATGTATTTTTACTTAGCAAACTAATTTCTGTTGCTGTGTGAGTTTTGCAGTGTTTATGGAGGAAGATTTATGGATTTCTCCTACTTTGTAGTGTGAAGTGAAAAAAACATTGCCTTAGTAAGCATTTGTAAATTTCTCTGGATCATCTGATTTACAGGCTGTACTTCTCTCTTTCAGTTTGCATGTGTTTAAGAATTTAGAGAATGCCATATAGTGAGGAGGTATTTAGAATCACACTTGGGTTCAAATCCTTGTTTTTCTATTCACTAGGAGTGGCTGTGTAATCTAGAAAAATATATTTAATCTCTTTAAATCTTAGAGGCCTCATCTATAAAACTGAGAATAATAGCACTCACTTCATAGGGTTGATGTGAATATTAATTTAAGTGAGATGCTATATGTAGAATTCTTAGCACACTGTGTAACACTTAAGAAACAATAAGTGAGGGCTATTATAGTAAGGAAGAGTGTGAATGTCACTAAATTCATTGTAGTCTGAATATTTTCTTCTTACAAAGCAGAAAAAAAGTATTTTAATGCAGACATTATTGATGACAGACTTGGTTATGCTATTGAGAACTTATGTTTTTCTCCCTCTTACAGGTTGCCTAATTTCTTCCTAACGCATTTATTGACTAGTTTGTTGTCTGAGTACTTTTGCAGTCTTGAGACAGAACAGGTACTGCCTGCTGATTTTATGGCGGAGATAAAGATAGTAGACCTTATTTGGCTTACCAAGAATGGACTAACATACATGTGCCCGTGTCAGAGGAAAAGCAATTAATGTGAAATTTCTATGTCATTGAGGAAAATCATTTCCTAAGACATCAACATCATGGTTCTAGCACATGAGATTTTCCATCAGCCAAAGTAAATTAAAGTGGAAGAGAATAGGAAACTCAAGCTTTTGACCCGATATAATATAGCTAGATAATTCTAAAATATGTTTTTCTATAATTAATTAATTCAATAATTAATGTTGTTTAATACAATTTTGTAAAAGCTATTAATGTTACAAAAATTTATTTTAAAATATTAATATCAGGCTGAAACTTTTAGAAAGAACTAAATGTAAGAGAGTTGGCGCTAAGGAAATACCACTTTCTGCATGTTTGCAAATAAAAGTTTAATTGAGTATGTAAATGCACATAACGTACATATAATTATGCATTTGCCCTATTTTAGGAATATCCTAGTGCTGTAGATACTTTAAAATATACTGAAAATCCAGGGAAATAAGATATAAGCACATGCTATAGTCAAATACAAATTCTGTGTATGATTAAGGCTAAGAGAAATTAAATTTAGTACATCACTCCTCACTTCCTGTGCTTTAAGAACTATTGTCTGGAATTTATATTAACTCATGATCTAAACTGAAGTTGTCAAATCAATATTTGACGTACCATTCCAAAGAGCCTTAAGATCTTATAGAGAAAGTTATTTCAGATAAAAGGAATTCACATGTGGTATGGAGTCGTAGGGAGTCACAATTCAATTTGGGAAGTCCATGTGTCTTAGTTGTGATGTGTAACAGGTCAAGAGTTAAATTCAAAAATTTTTATTCATCACCTTTTTTTTTTTTTTTTGGCTTGGAGCTTAAGTCAGCCCACTCTGCCCACAAACAAGCTGTGATGAAATACAGTAGGTCTGCTCCGAAGTGCCCTGGCTTCCATTACAAAGAAACATCTATTCTTTGTTCATCAGAGAAGCACAAAAGATGCTCTAAAATTCCAAGAACAAATCACTGAGTTAACCAGAAACCTGGGTGCCAGCGTCAAAGACCACCCCTTCTTTTATGTTGTTCACGGTTAGGGTGCTGTAGAAAGTTCACCCCTGCCCCCCCCAACACACACACACACAATATGAGTGGAGTTCAAAAAAAGGAGCATGAATGTAGATTTCAAGATTTGTTGGAAGAATTGACTATTTGCTATCTGAAAGGAAACACCACACCATATTTATTTTTCTATTATAAACCTACTATTTTGAAAAGCTTTCCTTAGTTTGTCAAGTATGATGGGTTCATAAAGGAAATTTACTTTTAGAAAATCTGGCTGCTTAGTTGTTCAGAAAAAGAACTATTTATATTGTGAGTTTTAAATAAGCCCATGCACTAAGCTACTATATTTAAGAGTTTGGATAAATTTTGTAGTACAGCTCCCAGGATATCAGAGCTCTCTTTGCAGCACTTTGAATCCTAGCTTTTGGGTTCAGTATGTTTGTATTAATAACATAGCTGTTAGTCAAGCCCTTTTGCTCAGAGACTGACAGATAATATGTAAAACATTCATCACGGAACGACTCAAAGTTGCTCCCCATGGGACGAGTTCACTGCTGCTTTGTCTTTTTTCTTTATTTTACCTCAAAGTATACTTTTCAAATTTTTGGTTTTGTAATTGATGTTTTCTCCCAATTCTTTGTACTCTTTTTCTTATTACTGTAAATGACTGACATAAAAAATACACATACACACACCTGATTTTGAAAAAAAGGCTACTGGAAAAATAGGATTACATATCGCTAAATACTGCACCACCCTCTTCCCTTTGCTTTTCCCTTTTTCTTTCTCCATTTCAAGCCCCCTCCACCCTTTGTGAATTTCTCTGCACACAGCGACTTCCATTTGATTCCTGACAGGGTCAGAGGTTTGAATTTTCTGATGGACTTAACTTAGAATCACTTTTAAAAATAAACTTTTTATTTTACAGCACATTTAGATTCACAGAATTGTTGCAAGGTGATAATGGGGGTTCCCAAATACCCCCCACCCAATTTCCTCTATAATTAACACCTTATATTAGTATGATACATTTGTTACAATGAATAAACCAATATTGATATATTGTAATTGAATAAAGCTCATAATTTGTTCATATTTCCTCGATTTTCCCCTAATGTCTTTTCAGTGTTCCAGGGGGCCATACTACATTTAGTTTGCATAGGTCCTTAGGCCCTGCTTAGCTGTGTCAGTTTTTCAGATTTTCCTTGTTTTTGATTACATTGATAGTTTTAAAGAGCATTGGTCAAGAATTTTGTAGAGTGTCTCTCAATTTGGATCTGTTTGATGTTTTTCTCATTATTAGACTTGAGTAATGTTTTGAGGGAGGAAGATCACAAATTTATCACTTCCTGTCAAAGATACATATCATCAACAGGACTCAGGACTGTTGATGTTGACCTTGATCATTTGGCTTGAGATATTTGTCAGATTAGAATCATATTTTCACTATTTCTTGGAGACCATCAAAGCATTTTCCTGAAGATTTTAATGATACATTAATTAAAGCTATAAGGAAGCTAACTGGGACTGATCTTTTGATTTTTCTTTATTGGTGGTGTTGTAAAGCTGTAATAAGTTTTTAAATAGTTAGAAAAAAATAATTACAATGGTTGTAAAAACATCTAATCTTTTTTTGTGTTAGGTGGGAATGAGATCCAGAAACCAGGGTGGTGAAAGTTCATCCAACGGGCATATCTCCTGCCCCAAATCCTCCATCATAAGCAATGTCGATGATAAAAGTCTCTCAGAAGATGCAAAAAAGAAGAACAAATCAAATAGAAAGGAGGATGATGTCATGGCCTCAGGAACCGTCAAACGACACCTAAAACCATCTGGAGAAAGTGAAAAAAAGAATAAGAAATCCTTGGAGTTATCCAAAGAAGACCTCATCCAGCTACTCAGTATAATGGAAGGAGAGTTGCAGGTAGTGTCAAATTTTCTCAACTATTGTGTTTCTAGTTACTGAACTGTAAAATAAGAGACTACAAACTAGTTTGTCTCATTAGATTACAAACTTCATGAGGAAAAAGGCAAGGTTTTTCTTACACATTTCTAAATCCCTGGTGCCTGGCCCTGGTTTGCACTGTGTATATTATTGTTGAATGAATGAATAAATGAGTAGATGCTGATTCCAGCTCCAAGCTTCTCTGGGGCAGAAAATTTCTTCATGATATGATTTTGGTAATAATTTAACACAGGTCCCTATACTTAGTAGTAGGTAATCAATGAGCTCATTTAATTTAGCCTTTGAGTATGGCTAAAAACTGGGGAAAAATCATGGTTATTAGATGACAGAGTCAAGATAAGTGCTATTTTTTATTTTTTCCAGAAGATAGAGTACAAGAGAGATAAAGGAAAAGAAAGACGGAGGAAGAAAGGAAGGGAAAAGAGAAAGAAGGCTTTGTTTAAACCAGCCTTACAGTTACCTTATTTTTTGTAACCTTCAACTTTAATTTTCTATAATGTCATAAGGATTGAGATGCACACAAATAAGCAGAGCAACGTATTGTGAAGACCTGATACTTTCACAAAGCATTTCAAGTCTATTACCTCATTCAATCTCAATAAAATTGTGGGTGTCATTATCTATATTTTACAGTGAGGAAACTGAGGCTCAGAAGGGTTAAGGGCTTGTCCAGATCTCATCTTAGGCCTCCTGATTCTTGGCCCAGTGTTCTTTCTGCAGCCCGTCCTCACAGCCTTCTGAGGCTATCTGGGCCATGTCCTCATCTGTAAGTTTTTAAGGATCCAAGAGGAGCTGGGATCTTTCTGAGTTCCTGAGCGCTAGACAATTATATCTGTGGAAGTGGGGAAACCATAACTTTTTTTTTTTTGGTGTGTGTTGGGGTAGGGTGGAGGAGATGACTTAAGAATGGAGTTTCTGTTTTCTTTTTTGTTTTTATCCATTTCTTAGCTTTCATGAGCCTCTAGGGCAGCAATTTTTAACCATGTATGCTGGCAGTTTTGAAAATAATGCAATACCTGACTATTTAGTTTGGGGCACTGACCTATTTTCCCTTAGATTGTCAAATTAAACAACAACAACAACAACAACAACAACCAACACAACAATAGCTGTCCAGTGTGAATGAATCAAAATTATACCTATTTTTTTGGACAGATTGGCAAAAAATATATTTTTTGGTGTGCTGCAGAATTTTAGTAGTTTGTGTGCCATGAAATGAAAAAGGTTGAAAATAGCAGCTAGGGGAATAATAATAATGATTGTGTGAGATAAAACCTTTGTTTGGTGCTATTAGCATCAGAGATATTATTTTAAACCTACCCTAAACTAGGGTGGGCTCCCCTGATCTGTTCCTGCCCTTGTCTGTGTGTGCACATAGATAAGAAAACTTTTTGGGTAAAGGGAAATAGAAAACACAACAGAGCTCAAATTAAAAAAAAAGAAAAAGATAAACATGATTGAGCTTACCAGTTACCTGTGGATAAAATCACATTTGCATTTCTCAACAAAGGATGAAATTTTCCAGAGCGCCATCATTAATGAAAATAGCTGCACCTCTCCCAGAAATGTGGTTAATGTTTTGTGTATTAACATTTATTGTGTAAGGAGGTAGAATTTATTAGTTCAGCTTTTTAAGCTGCCCTAGCAGACATTACTAACCAGAGTGGAAGGCAGAATGGTTGCTTTAGAAATAAAAATCAATGCTATCAGCTTACTTCTTTCCACTCTGTGTAAGCCCACATGCCCAGGATATCAAAGAAATTACGAGGAGACTCCAAAGGAACACATTTTGCTCTCCATTAATTTTTATGAACACAAGATACCTTACCTTACACAGTAGATGTAAATAAGTAATAAATAAGTAAATAACAAGTAAAAATATAAGATATTTGTGAGGGCGGTAGTGAAGGGAAAAAGACATGAAAGATCTGATATTTTTAACGAAATTCCATGGTGCATTCATTTGCAAAGCAAATAATTCATCCTCCATATACTTATATGCACACACATACATGTGCCAGTATGTGTTCTTATAAATGCAGATTTTGCAATATTAGATTTGTTAAAAATGAGGGTGTGCCTATGTTTACAGCTGTAGATAGATGTTCTTGTACCTGACACCTGTACTTCATTAACATTGTCCCTTGGGTGTGTGTCTGTTGCAGCTGAGAGTGGGAGGCAGTTGGCATTAGCAACCATGAGTGGGCTGCTAAAAATGTGGCAGCTCTGAACCAGGTTTTCAAGATTAAAGATAAGAAAAAAAAAATCTATCTAAAGATTTGGCATTGAGAGGAGAGGTAAGTTCCCCCAGCTTGGGCCTGTGTGCATTTAGCTCAACATGTATGAGCATTTAGTGAGTTGTCGCTCAGAGGCCACCCATTGCTCTCCCTTTATGGACTGGCTGTATGTGACTTGTGTATTCTTACTCTGGAGGTGGTGTTTGTTCCAAGGTTCTCTAAAATATTGGGACTGCCAGACATCTTTGAGGTAACTCATTTACCCATTTTACACCATATTTGTGAAACTGACACTCAGATAAGTTATGTGACTTGCCAAGGTTGCTCAGCAATTTAGTTATATTTTCTCTAGACTTAAATTCCCTGTCTTTCAGTCCAGTGTCCCCACCGCTAAATCATTTACACTGTAGGGATGTTCAAGGGTGGGTTCTATTATACTCATTCTTCACCTCCAGAATTTCTTAGTAGACTTACATTGTGAACTTTGGGGCTGAAGCCATTCTGTGAAAAGACAAAGCCTTTTTTGGGTAAGAGAAATAGAGTTAAGAGGAATCTTTCACATCAAGGCAGTGGAATATGAGCTAAGCCTTTAAGTTCAGTTGTGGTCTGGATAGTGAGAAAAATGGGGACGACAGCAGCACCACGTGGCCACAAGCTGGGCACAGCACCACTGCGGGGGCTTCATGTTCAGTACTCCATGAGGCCTGTGCCCTGAAGCTGTGTGACAGCTTAGCCTTGAGGGGACTGGAACTGCTAACCAAAATGAATAGGGTGACTCACAGAGAAAAGAACTTATATTGGGTTGGCCAAAAAGTCCCTTACATTTTTTCCATAAACTGAAAGACACGTTTTCCATTTTCACCAATAACTTTACTGATTTGAATATTTTGAATATGTCGGCTACCTCCCTCTATTGGCTGCTCGTGGGCAGGGGCCAGGGGTGCTGCATAAACATCCTCCGATGCATAAGACAGCCCCACAGCCAAGAATTATTTGGCCAAAATGTCAGTAGTACCAAGAAACTTCGCAAACCACTTTTGACATGTTCGATCAGTCACAGCACCTTCTCCACACACTGTCCAAATCTTTTTATGCATTTCAATTGCATTTTTACCCTTCTTGAAATAATAAAGCACGATATGCCAAAATTGTTGCCTATTTTCTTCCATCTTCAGTATTAAAATGGCTACACAAAAATTCACCAATTTTGATATGTTTTTTTAAAAATGCACACTGATATGATAGTTATCACAATATAATCTAACAAAATTGTTTTGAATGAAGTTAAAGACAACTAAGCACTACTGGAGCTATCATATGGAAAAAAATGTAACTGACTTTTTGGCCAACCCAATAATATCAAGGAGATAAGAATAATGTGAGGTCTGCCAGTAACAGACGTGCTCTGGCAGTGACTTGGGGAAAAGGAGGAGCAGGAGGCTCGCTCAGGCTTTTCATGCCCATTTCTCTTTCTCAGACTCCTTGTCGATTTCTTCATTCTTTCTCACCCGGGACCCAGGGTTTTGGACATTATCGCTCTGTATATTTTTGGTTCTAGCGGTCTGCCACCTTCAGAATCTGTTGTGCAATCTATGGGAAATTTGTTCAGCCATCATTTTAAATGGCATGACCTTTATTGTTAGCATTGGCACTTAGCAAACCTTTGTAAATTTGCTGTTTTGTTTATCAGTCCATGTATCCAGTAAACCCTTGAAGTGCACCTTTAATGGACATGTATTAGATATGAAGTTGTCCTTCCCAGGGATCTTTGCATTTTAAGGAGTCTTAGCCAGAACTGGTGATGTCATGACCCTTGTCCTGGAGACAGATGTCTTCCAGACTTTTCAAGTCACACCTTAACACATGGAAAGTTGTTTCAGCACAGTGACTGGCTGGCATTGCCTGCACAGAAGTAGCAGGGATGGTTTTTATTATTACATTTGTGTCATTGACTGCTTCCAATAACAACTACTTTCTAATAAATTGGAACATTTTTACTTTCTGGGTGAAAAACTGGTTACATATTTCCCAGACTAAACTGGAAATAATGAAATAGTACACCAGACCATTATTTGGGCACCATGATTAATTTCCCTCTGTATTTGTCCAAAAATAGCAATTTAAAGAAGTTATTCAATTTGGCTGTACTAAACATGACTGAAGTTCAAAGGAAATGGTACTCACATCAAAAAGCCATAATACAGAAAACTTGGCAGAAGGGTATTCTTATAAAATGATTTAAAAACAGAATCCTAATTAATTTTTTTTCTTGATGCAAAAAAAAAAAAAAGTTAACTACTTTATGTAGTAAATTTCCTGACGTTTTCCACTTGAAAACGTTTTAGAAAACCCAACCTCAAATGGATTTCATCATTTTTCCTTTTGTCCTTGTAGTTAGTTCTCTTCTACCTGTGTGTAAGCGGGCCCAGGGAAAACTAGATACCATAACTAGATAAGGAACCACCGTTCCATTTGGCTTTGTGCTTTCCAGCCTGAGTCAGAGACAGTCATCGATACACTGAGAAATCTAACTTCATCCTAGGTGGCTGGCAGAAGGTATTGTATTTCAAAAAGATAATTTATGAAATAGATAATATCCCTGCAGATTATTAAAAGTTTATTCTTTCCTTCTGGGGTTCCTAGTCATTTTCTTTAATATTGTTCACTAGTTTCTCTTTACCACTCCACCACCTACTATAGGTGAGCACTCTATCTGTTCTT